AGTGCAAAGAATCGCATGTGTGTATCACCGTGTCTGGCTGGTGATCTTCATTTAGTATTTCCACATGATTTTTGATAGATTTATCTTTATCAGTAATGGTTTTTGATACCTTTGGAAATGACTTTTCTATTTTTATTTCAACTTGTTGCTTGTTCGTATTTAAATATAGGATGGATTTTAGCATATTGGTGTTGAATCCAGATACTTTGCTGAAATTGCTAATTAAGTTTGCTTAAAATTATTTTAGCTTTTCTAAGTATATGGTCCCCTGAAAACAATGATAGTTATAGTTATTTATTTTCTTTCATCCTCTTTCTCCTCTTCCTTTGCCTTCTTTTGAGACAGGATTTCTCCATGTGGTCCTGACTGTCCTGGAACTTGACCTATAGACCAGCCTGGCCTCGAACTCAGAGATTTGCCTACCTTTGTCTCAGAAGTGCTGGGATTAAAGGGATGCACACCCTGACTGGCTAGTTATTTCTTTTAAGGCTAATTTAGAAATTTCTTTTTCTTACCTATTGTGTTGGCTGGGCTTTCCAATCCACATTGAATGGGAATGGTGAGTGTACCTGTGTCTTGTACTCAGCTTGAGTGGGAAAATATTTAATAGTTTGCTTCCAGGTTTAATGCTTGTCACAGGATTTTGTTTTTAGGAATGCCTACATATTTAATTAAATCAATCCATTTATTTTCTATTATTTTAGTTTTCTGAGAGTTAAAATAATGAACAAATGTTTAATTTAATCAACTATCTTTTCTGGGACTTCTGAAGTTAACATTTTTTTTAATACCATTATTTCTGTCAGTGTGGTGATGTAATCCTTGATTTTTTTTCTTTTTAAATGTTTTTTAACTTTTATTTTATATGCATTGGTGTTTTTCCTGTATGTCTGTCTGTGTGAGGGTGTCAAACCTCTGAAGCTGGAGTCGGAGACAGTTGTGAGCTGCCATCTGGGTGCTGGGAGTTGAACCTGGGTCCTCTGGAAGAGCAGACAGTGCTCGTAACCACTGTGCCATCTCCAGACCCCTAGTCCTTGAATGTTAGATGTTAAATATGTCATGTCTTGCATTCCTGGAAAAGGTCCTCCTTAGTTATGTGTTATGCCTTGTGAATGTGTCTGGATTGGATTCACTGTTTTGTTTTTGTGTTTCCAGGCTAAATCTGCAAAAGATACTGACAAGTTACTTTTTTTTTTTTTTGGTTTGGTTTTTCGAGACAGGGTTTCTCTGTATAGCCCTGGCTGTCCTGGAACTCACTCTGTAGACCAGGCTAGCCTCGAACTCTCAAACTCAGAAATCCGCCTGCCTCTGCCTCCTGAGTGCTGGGATTAAAGGCGTGCGCCACCACCGAACGGCTTTTATTTTATTTTACAAATTTGAGTGTCAAGATTTTTCTATCCTTTTATAGCAAGTTGGGAAGTCTTTCTTTTCCTCTTCTTCCTCTTCCTCCTCCTTTCTTCCTCTTCTTCTCCTCTTTGTTTACCGGCAGAGTTTATTTGAGTTTGGTAGTTTATTTTGTTTTAAACCATATGTGTGAAGTCATTTGGGCCTGGATTTCTTTGGTGGGAGAGACTGGGAAATGTGCTATGAAATCCTCATGTTTATTTTCTCACCGTGTTCTCTCCTCTCCATCTTAGCATGTTTGGAGTGATCCAGAAAGAGGAACGTTTTAATGAGGTATTTTTAAAGTACTTCAAGGAAAACAAAATAGAGATAGCCCATGCAATCACCAAGCTATTTCCTTTCCTAGAAAGTCTAAGGGACCGCTCCTTCATCACAGACAAAATCTACGCTGTAAGTGACATGTGTTCATCACCCCATCGCAACCGAGCCTGTTAACTGGTATTTTTGCCATCCTGGATGCTAGGGTTCTCTAGCTGGCTAAAAAGCCTGGTACGCCTTTTGTGGGAACACCCTTTGATGTTTGTTAACTATTCTATCATGTACAAGGTAACGAGCCACTTCTGCTCCTAACTGAAGGCACTGTGGTTGAATTGCAACAAGGCTCGGATGTAAAGCTACTGAGTAGCATTTGCTGTGTTCTAATATCCTCCTTATCACCGCGCCCCTCTCCCCCCATGTACACACACACAAAAAAAAAAATGAAAGAAGAAATTGTTTAGTCCCACTGACAGATACTGATTAGTGACTTACAATAAAGCAAAGTTAAAATAATGAAAGAATGAGACTATTACCAGGGTCTAAGGTTTGTCAATGATTTATAGGAAAGCAGAGACAGGAATTGATGGGAAAAAGTAGATTGACTTTAATTCTGGGCAGAATCCCCAGTTTACTGAGAAAGAAACTTCAATCTTTCCTCATTCTGCCAATGTTACAATCTGTTTATGAAATGCAGACCAGGAGATATTCATCTGTAAGTTCAGCTGGGAGCTCATGTTATGAGGACTGAGAAATGAATCTTTCTCCTGGACCAGTTTCTGCTCTGGCTGCAGGGCTCCCAGCATGGGATTTCCCAGAGAGACTAGAATCCACAGGTCCCCCAGGACAGTATTTCAGGATAACGTCTACCTGTGTCCGATGAAACTAGGCTTTGACACTCTCTCTGCTGAACTTTTTAAAAGGATTCTTATGAAGCCTGTAGGAACTTGGTTCCCATAGAGAAAGTGGTGTACAACGTTCTCAGTCACCTGGAGAAGTTATCTGATCCATCGTTTCTATGGGCTCTGTTTAACAGAGTGAACCTGAAGGAATATCCTGCTTTAAGAGAGATTCGTAAAAACTTGGAAACTGGTAATTTCTTCTCTCACCTCCCTTTTGCAATGAAATTCTATCTTAATTTTTTTTTTATTATTTGACAGTCTCATACATGTATACAATGTCTCTAGTTCTAAACTGACCCTGACTCCATCAAATCACCCCCACCCCCCCCCCCCCTATGTCCCTTTACACTTCCATGTTCTTCACCGTCGTTTTTGTTTCCATCTTCTTCCTCCTCCTCCTCCTCTGTTTTATAACCGATTGGGTTTAAAAACTGCCCATATGTGCATAGTTAGGTATGGGGCATCCACTGAAGTGTGAACAACCTACCAGCAACCACGGCCCTCCCCCCCCCCCCCCACACCTCAAGGAAAAAAACGACTCTCCCAGCAACCATTCCTGCCAATAGTAACTCAGCTAAGGGTGGAGCTTCGTGAGTCCCGCCCCACCAGTGCTGACAAGCTGATTGGCTCGCTCTTATGCAGCTCTTGTAAGGCAATCGCAGCTGCTCTGTGTTTGTGAACTCGGCAGTTATATATAATATCCAGAAGGTAGTGCTTTATAGCTGTCTGTCATCCCCATCTGCCAGCTCTTAAATTTTTTCTGCCCCCTCTTTAACGTTCCCCGAGACTTAGGGTGAGGGATTGAAATAAATGTCCTACTTAAATACAACTATTTTCATTCATTTAATCTTTATAGCTAAATTGCTCACTGTGTGCCATTGCCTGAACCGGGTGTTGTGGACATAACGGGTAATGCTCTGTCTCACCTTGTGAGCGGTCTCTCGGGTTCTTTCCATGAAGTCTTGGCATTTCTTTCAAGCTAACTGTCTTCACTCCCAATTTAGCTCTCGAAGCCCCTTCTTACTGCTTGGGCCTGGACTGCCCTGGGGAGGTCTGTGGCTCTTTCCTGTGCTCTCTGCTCATCCTTCTCCCAAGGAGGCTCAGGCTCCCCTCTTTGCTGGCCCCATCTTTGATGCTCTTGACCTTTAACAACAACAACAAACTTATGTGGGTCTATGACCTTATTCACTCTACTCCAGAGAGAATCCCTGTTTTTTTTCCCAGAGGTTTGTGCAACCCACGGGACACCCCTTCCCTTGAACTGAAATAAGATTCCATTACACTTAATTGAACAAACTAAGTATTCCCCCACCCCCACCCCCCGGGACCTAGGACCTTGCACTTGCTAGATAAGCTCTCTACCACCGAGCTAAGTCCCCAAACCCCAATTAATTACTTTTTTTTTAAAATGATGTCTCCACTGTATCATCGTCCTTAAAACCTAAGAGAGGAGCTGGAGAGACAACTTAGCAGCTAAGAGCACCTGCTATTCTTGCAGAGAACCTGAGTTTGACTTCTAGCACCTACATTGTGTTGTTCACAATCAGAGTCAATACCCTCTTCTGCCTCCACAGGGACCTATACTCATGAGCACACAGCACATACTGACAAGAAAATACATAAACTTTAATAAAGACAAAACAAAAACCCAAGCCCCCCAGATCTCAAGTTCATTGTCTACAGCAGTGGTTCGCAACCTTCCTAATGCTGCAACCCTTTAGTACAGTCCCTCATGTTGTGCTGAGCCCCTAACTATAGAACTATTTTGTTGCTATTTTTTAACTGTAATTTTGCTACTGTTATGAATAAGACCATCAGTAACGTAAATATCTGTGTTTTTTGATGGTCTTAGGGGACCCTTATGAAAGGGTCATTCAACTCCAAAGGGGTCATGACCCACAGGTTGAGAACTACTGGTGTACTTTTTCCATGATCTTGTTTTGCTTTCTCCTCTCAGCTGCCCTGTAGGAAGGGACAAACTATATCCAGCTGCCCTGTAGGAAGGGACAAACTATATCTAGCCATAAAAGCCGTCAATATCCAGAGTGACCCAAGGACTTGAACGTCCCACTAGACTACGAAAACTCACAGAGGTTCCATCTGTGTGATTGTTTCCACTGGACTCCAGCCCCACTGTCCAGGGCTTGAGGGGATGTTCTTGTCACTGACTTGCAGGGACTAATGCCTTTCTCCCTCTGCTCAGAGCTACAGGATGGATACTTTCCCCAGAAAAGTAAACAGGAAGAAAAGAAACTTGCCACCGTGCAGCCAAGTTATGAGCAAGGTACTTAGAACTGGGCGAAATTTTTGGTTAACCAAGAGGAAAAAGAAACATGGACACCAGAGCTACAGTGGTGGGGGGTCGGGGGTGGGGGCGGAGGATGGGGGATGGGGAGTGAGAGTGGGGGATGGGCAATGCTGTGCAGAGAACTCCGAAGAGAGGTAGATGGTTGCTGATTGAAAAAAAAAACCTATGTATTTTATTTAATGTGTATGAATGTTTCTACTTGCATGTCTCTACACTGGGTGCCTGCCTGTTACCCACAGAGGTCAGAAGAAGGGGTCAGAGCCCCTGCAGCTGGAGTTATGGACGATTGGGAGCCCTCATGCTGGTGTTAGGAACTGAACCTGGGCCCTCTACAGAAGCGTCAAGTGATTTTAACCACTGAGCCATCGCTTCAGCTGCTCAAGTCAGAAATGAGCTGCTGGGGCTGAGACACTTTCTGTTCCGTCACAGGGAAAGTAGATTGTGTTAAGGAGTCTTTAACAGAGAGCTTAGGCGGGCTCGGAACTGTGGGTCAACGATGAACAGCATCGGAGAAGGGACATTTGGTGATAGCCAAGGTGATTGGTAAATCTGGATCTGGGGGTTTTTGTTCAAGAGTAGAAATAGAGGCTGGGGCACAGCAGTCAAGGAAAAACAGAGTCAGTGAAGAATGAGCTGTAAAGTTCCACTGGAGAGACAGGACAGATGGAAGTTGGGTGACCCTCAAAGCCGGTGAAACCAAAATGTACCAACATCTCCTTGTGGGAGAAGCCGAGGTGCTTACAGATGGGTTCCTGATGGAAGCTGAGGAGAAAGAGAGGGACGAGGAAGACATGAGTGAGCAGGCTTACTGGATGCCAGCTGAGGTCCTCAAACGGTTGTGCTTTCTCCCGAGGTGTAGCTCCTTGTAGCTTCTAACACCCAAGCTTAGAACGGCCATGTTTTCCAGACATGGTTCCTGGGACACCTCTCTTTTTCTGTCTCTTGGATTTCCAGTAAACCTAATACCTTCCAGCTCTAAAAGGAGGAGAGGTTAGACCAGACCTCTTGCCTACAGCTGTGTGAGAGACAAGGATCAGGTTGACTCTCACCTTTAAAAATTACTTTGTTATTTTTATTATTGTGTGGGGGGGGACACCAGTGTGTCGAAGTGTGAAGCAAGTACTTTACCCCCTGGGCCATCATATTGTAAGAGTCTGAAATCGCTGAAGGAAGACACCCAGACTCAGACAGTATGCAAAAACAAAGAGCATTTATTCTGCAGACACAACCAACATGTGGGGGTCAACTATTCTCTAAAATGGAAACCCCAGACAAAGGTACGCAATTCTTCTTATAGAGAACCAGGGGAACTCTCTAGAAGGATTATGTAATCTAAAATTTCACTGGTGGGTGCTGGGGGGGTGTCACAGGTGGTCTGCATCTCTGTGTCATGAACCTTTAACCGTAGAATGAGATGGGGCTGCCCAGCACATACGGCCCATTCTGAGATAAGGTATTTTCTCATTTTGTGGTTATCCCCAGGCTGTTCTTTGGGAGGGGATTTTGTGATCTTGTTCTGGATTTTATGATCTGTTCTTAGGGCTGGTGTCTTATGACTTAGTTTCTGGGACTTACGGTCTGTTCCTGAAGCTGGTGCCTTAAGGCCTTTTCCTGAAATCAGTCTCGGTTCTTAAATGGAAACAAATGGGGTTTATGTTGCCCTTTCAATACAAGCCCAATCTCACGTTATAAATGATTTGTGTTTTAGACCATTCTGTGGAGGGAGGAGATATCTGTCTTCTGCTCCTCTACCCCTCTCCCTTTCACACGCCTGAGCCACCCTCAAGCTGCGTGCTAAGATGTGACAGAGGCAAGTCAGTCGAGGCCTGGGAGATGCTAGAGGTTCATTATCCGTCATTAGGGATCTTCTCGCTTGCATGGCTTTAGAGGAGACTATCTCCTCAAATCTGACCCCTTTAGTCTCTTGCTTGCTGGCTTGCCTGCTTGGTGCTGTCATCCAGGCTGTAGGTAAGGGACAAAGGGGACCCTTGTGCCTTGGGTGAGACCACGTAGAGGCTGAGGATATAGCACGGGTAGATGAACCGTCACGTAGTGAGCTAGAGAGGTGATCTCAGCCTTGCCTTACCCTCCCAGCTCAGCAGACATCGGGATGGAGAGGATCATTATACTGGGTGGTTAAAGTCACCACGGAGGCATGGGGATGTGTGTGACTCTCAGACTTGCATGTAAGAAAGATCACAGTGGAAGATCTCTAGGAGGACGAACAGGGGGAGGGTAATCAATGAGTGAGATAGAACAGGAAGAGTCCCTCCTTGCTCTAAAGTATGTGTGGGTGTGTTTCCTGGTCACCCTTGTTTCTTGAATACAGGATGTGTTTATGCATGGTGCTGAAACCACCTGGGCGGGGAAGCAGGGTTCGTAACATCCAGACCTTTGACTGACAGCTCCACCCTACAGTGAGCCTAAACAAACATGTTACACTAGTCTGCAAGTAGGATTCAGGGCCAGGCATCACTACTGCTGGCCTCTGTACCAGGCAGGGCTGTCATCCTGGCAGCTACATGTGCTCCAGTGTCTGTGGCTGCTGGGGCGACCCTTATTGCCATAACAACCGTAAGGGCTCCTTCATTCAAGAATCTGCCTCTTCAGTCCATCTTGAGTAGCCAACTGCTGTAGCCACTTAAGCAACTGCCATCACAACCTCCCAGCCTGGCAACTTACGATGCTGTTGCCAAGGCAACCTCTGCAAACAGCTGCTGAGATGCTTCAGGGGCAGGAGGACAGACAGGTGGCCAGCCTCCCTGCTGACTTGAGGTAGATTTTCCTGTAGCCTACTGGGGTGGTGAGCACAGACTGCTCTCTCAGCTTAGGAATCTCAAGTGTGGTGCACCAAACTATGCTGAGCCTTTTCATCACAAACCTTCCCCCTTCAACCTCTGTTCTCCTTCTTTGCTAATGTGGGTACATGTTCAGGTCTTCAAGCAGTAAGCCCAGGAATTCTTTTGAGTCCTTTTTTCCCTTAGCCTCCAGGCCCACTGTGGGAAGTGACCTGGTTTGACTAATATCATAAGATCTGTCTCATGGGCTGGAGAGATGGCTCAGAGGTTAAGAGCACTGACTGCTCTTCCAGAGGTCCCGAGTTCAATTCCCAGCAACCACATGGTGGCTCACAACCATCTGTAATGGGATCCAGTGCCCTCTTCTGATGTGTCTGAAGACAGCAACAATGAACTCAAATACATAAAATAAATAAATAAAACTTATAAAAAAGATCTGTCCCATAATAGCACTAATTCTTTACCCTGAAATTTGGACATGCATGTTGGTACGATGATATTGCTGGTGTGTTTATGTGGGAAACTTCAAAGCCAGCAAGATGGTGCAGTAGGAAAAGGGACTTGCCATTAAACCTGATGACCTGCGTCCATTTCCTGGAACTCACATGCTGAAAATTGAGAACTGACTCCAGAAAGTTGTCCTCTGACCTTCACAAGTGCACCATGGCATGCTTTCTCTGTCTCTGTCTCTGTCTCTGTCTCTGACTCTGTCTCTGTCTCTCTTTACACACACATATACACACACCCCACAGAATTAACAAAATTCTGAAAATAAAAACAATTGGAAGAGTTGCATTTATGCAGATAGTTTGTCTCTCAGTATCCACGGGGAATTAAATCGTCTTCACTGATACCCGAACCCACAGATGTAACCTACGCAGATGTCCACATCTTCAGTGTAACCTACGTAGATGTCCACATCTTCAGTGTAACCTACACAGATGTCCACATCTGCAGTGTAACCTACACAGATGTCCACATCTGCAGTGTAACCTACACAGATGTCCACATCTTCAGTGTAACCTACACAGATGTCCACACCTTTAGTGTAACCTAAACATCTCCTTTGTTTACTTTCAGTCGATTTTAGCTTGCTCATAATATGTAAGCAATTATTCATCATTGAGAACTTCATGTCTTTTCTGTTTGTTTGTTGTTTCGAGATGGGTTTCTCTGTGTACCCCTGGTTGTCCTGGAACTCGCTCTAGACCAGGCTAGCCTTGAAATCAGAGATCCGCCTGCCTCTGCCTCCCAAGTGCTGAGACTAAAGGTGTGTGCCACCGATGCCTGACAGAAAAACTTTAGGTCTTAATAGAGTTAAAAATTAAGTTAATTATGTTAAAGAATGCAAACTTAAGCTGAGATAATTATCAGTTGGTAAATGATAGTAAAGGAAGGGCAAAAGAGAAACCAGAAAAGATAGAGTCAAGGGAGTAAAGAACTTGAAGGCTGAAGAGAAGAAGGTGCATTGTAGGGCAAGTTATAAAGCTAAGAGGGAAAGGATCATTCATTCATTCATTCATTCATTCATTCATTCCTTTCTTCCTTCCTTCCCTCCTTCCTTCCTTCCCTTCTTCTCTCCCCCACTCTCTTCCCACTCTCTTTCCTTCTTTGAAACAAAGTCTTATTATATGTAGACCTTTTGGCCTTGAACTCATGATTGACCCCTCGTGTCTCAACTTTCCAAGTGCTGGGATCACAGGTGTGAGACATCACACCTGGCTAATGTGGCAAAGGTTTATCACTATACTTGTCTTCTGCAGTCAAGTGTCAGGGGGGAAAGAACAGAACATCGTCAGTTTGTTCTAAGGGAGTGGATGAGAACTCTTAAAGCAATATTCTCTCTCTCTCTTTTTTTTTTTTTCAGAGACAAACCTATGTACCCATGAAAACTGGACGCAGCCCTGTTTTGTGAAACAAGAGAACCCACAGGAGTCAGAAACACTGCAGAACCAAGCCAATGAAGTCATTGGTAAGGATAACTTATGAAGCCCATGATGATAGGTGACCCTTGTAAGTTAGAGTAGAGGTGACTGACTGAGCCTATGCTTAGAGTCCAGCTCCATGGCTCTGGGAGCCCCAGATGGATGCAGGAGCCATGGACTCTGGCATTGCTTTGACTGGGAAAGCAGGTAGGCAATGGGAAAGCTTTAAGACATCCGACAGGGAATAGCCACAAGGAGATATAGTAGACAAGGAAGCCAAGTGTGTGTGTGTGTGTGTGTATGTTCATGTGTGTGTATGCACGTGTGCAAGTTCATGTGGGTGCATGTGTGTGTGTGTAGTGAGGGATGGGGGAGGAGACAAGACAAGCAGAAGCAGAAAGCACCGGAGATCCATAGAGTGAGAGAGAAGAAAGAGTTAGGAGCCTGCAGAGGCAGAGAAATAAGCAGAGGCAGTAGGAAGCAGGAGGAAGAGTTAAAAAGATGGAGAAATGACAGGCAAAGTTTTGAGACATCCAAAGCCAGGGTGATGTCTCTCAAAGAAGAACACTCAGGAGAGACCAACTATGGCAGGAGCATTGCTACCTAAGCATTACTCAAGCTTCTGGATCTTTCCTGGTGTCTGCATTCTGGGGTTCTAGTTGAATCTGCTTTCTGGTCATTCATGGAGAGCCCTAAGGGGTTTTGTCTTGCTGTGCAGTGATTAGCAGTGAGAGCTCAGAGAGCAGTGATGAGGACAAGGAGGACCAAAACCTGGGCACCGGGACTCAAGAGGCAGATGGACAAAGAGGCTGAGGACTCTGTCCCCCAGGCTCCAAAACACAGAGCCTTCCTCAGGATCTCACACCTCCTGTGTCTGGACTAATCGCTCTTGGAGGACATCGAGGAGTCCAGAGGCTCAGTCTCTGCACCTTACGTTTTCTGACACTTGGGAAGATGTGGAGAGTGTAACAAGGTCCCAGATCTTAGCACAGCTGACTCTATGCTGGAAGAGTCATTCAGGCTCTAAGACTCAGTACCACCTGCCAAAATGAAAATAAACCCAATCCACCATGATTCTGGGAAGGTCTCTAAATACACTTGCTTTTTGGCTTCTGTAGTTCTGCTTCTGGCTAACTGTTCTTATTAACTGGAGTATGTGAACCCCAGTTTTTGTGCTTAAAATCTCATCCTGAGAAAGACTTGGGGCTACCCTGGGATCCTGAACATCCATTCCTTGGCTGGCTAAGAAAGACTTTCAGTCAGCTTAAATCCATGTCCCAGCAGCCTTCTCTGGTGGATAGTCTCTCTGACCTACAACAGAGAGGTCAGAAAATATTCTCCAACTTTGTTAATATACTGATGGCAGAGTAAAATGAAAATGGTTTATTTACAAGTTTTGTTTTATTTTTCTCTTTCACATAACCATGCCTATCTGAAGCATAAAAAATATTTGGCCTTTATCCCTATTTCTTTGCATAGAGCTCTCAGTGTTCAGTATATATATATAATTTTATTATTTAATATTATATATATTATATAGCTGTGAATATATAAAAGGATGAGACAGCAGGCCAGCCTGGGCTACAAAGTGATATCACTGGGAGTCTCTGTCTGGATCAGGTGTTTCCAGGTATGTTGTTCAAAGACTTAAAGAAGCATAAACAAATAGTACAGTATAAAGAAACAAAGCAGAAAGTATAGAATAGATATACACTAAGAAAGTATTGGACCCTGAGCACGAATCTCTTCTACAGCATCTAACCACTGCCCAGGGCATTCTCGTGTGGGTCAAGGAGAAGCTGGCTGTAGCCAATCATGGTTGCTGGAAGCTACAGGTCAGCATAATCAGTTAGTATGTTAAGACAAGTGTGTATCTTGATGTAGGTGAGAGTCCCTGGTTGATGAGTGAGTTGTTGGGAAAGGGCTGTACGAATGTATCTCAATGCAAGTGGAGTCCCTAGGTTGCTAACCGATCCTATGCCTACCTCAGTGAGACCCTGTCTCAAAACAACACAAACCAAACAAAAACAATAAAATAAAAGAAAGAGTTTTCTTTGAAAATCAGACCACATGGCTGGAGTAGATCGTTCATTAGCTGGTTTGATGTGGGGTTTTTGAGAGCGGTGGAGGCTTTCTCAATGCTTGGTAAGATTAACTCTTAGAACTTGGGGGGCTGGTGATTGATTGTCACCAAGGTCACCCTAAGCCCCTGGCTTCTGAGTTCATTGTCTCACTCCCTAGGAAAACAAGGAAATACAGGTAAGGAATGAGCCAAGCAAATGGAGCTTATTAAGGAAACGTGAGAAATAACTGCCTGTGTTAGCGAGAACCTGATGGATAAAGACGTGGTTACTGGGATGGGCACTCTCTGAGCATACTTGGCTCTGGACCAGTGAGTGGCTGACACCCTCACCGGGTGCCTCTCAACCCAACCAGAGAAACAATCATCCAGTCAAGGGAGCAGGCATCATGATGCTTACCTTTGTCCACTCTGACAACTCATTTTGTAGGCTGTTGATGGGACCACTTTCTGCCGTCACCAAATTATGATCAGCTGTGGGGCCCTACCCTTATTTCCTGTAGTGTTAACTCCTATCTCATTATGTCCTCTTAAAGAAAGACTGGGTATTTTTACCCAGATTGCTGAATGTGATGGCTGTTCTTGATAGTCTGCTTGACTAAGTCTGGAATTAACTAAAATCTAAATGTACACAGGTACACCTGTGAGGGACTTTTTTTCTTAGTTAAATCATTTGAAGGGGGAAGACCCATTCATTCATTCATTCATTCATTCATTTTATGTGCATTGGTGTTTCCCCTGCATGAATGTCTGTGTGAAGGTGTCAGATTTTGGAGTTACACACACTAGTGAGCTGCCATGTGGGTGCATGGAATTGAACCCATATCGTCTCTAGAGCAGTCAGTGCTCCTAACTGCTAGTTTTGTTTTTCCTGGGGTTGAATGAGTGAGTTTATTAAGTATATATCAAACCAAAGTAAAAGAATAAATAGCAAGTAATAGACAGACAGACAGATGAGATAGGTAAGCAAAACATCATCTCTTGGATGTTTAAAGAGCCAGCAGAAATAGACTGCAGAAGCCCCGTTGAGACAGTCATTTGGAAGTTCCACACAGAATCCAGGGCAGAGCAGGATTCCTCCAGGGCAGGCTTCAAGGTAAAAGAACAGAGAGCAACAGTGTAGGATATGATATCTCCTGAATAATTTAATGAATTATGGAAGAAACAAACCTGTTTAGCCATCAATAGAGTGAAGGAATGTTCAATTTTTTTTAGGCCTGGTAGATCCAAGTTTTGTTTTGTTTTTTGAAATAAAATCTCTCTAAATAAATAATCCTGCTTGTTAAGGAACTCACTATGAAGACCGGGCTGTCCTTGAACTTACAGAGATCCTCTTGCCTCTGCCTGTAGGGATTAAAGTACCCTATCCTGCTCTTACCTGGGGTTGACCTCTGCATTCAATTTTGAAGAGAAACTATATGTCCCCAGTTGATTTATTTTTCCTGTCTCCCCTAATTTTGTTTTTGCTTTAAATGCTTCCTTAAAAATAGGGTTTAATCTTGAACAAGTGAACCCAGTTAGTAACTTTATGGACTGTCCTTTTAAAACTGACTAAAGATGGCTATATGGTCGGCAGCTTTTTATTATTATTATTATTATTATTATTATTATTATTATTATTATTATACTTTGCTTTTGGATACTTAAAACCATGTAAGTGGCCAAAATTAAATGTTTTTGTTTGTAAAGTCTGTTGAGACTCTGTATGTATTCCTCTTGGGGATTTAGGCGTGACCCATTGACTCCCTTAAGTTTCCTGTATCAGCCGTGTCATCTGCAGGGTCCTGTTGACCATATCTCTTCCTTTGGAAGCATAGATTTTTTTTTTTTTTTTTTTTTTTGGTTTTTCGAGACAAGGTTTCTCTGTATAGCCCAGGCTGTCCTGGAACTCACTCTGTAGACCAGGCTGGCCTCGAACTCTCGAACTCAGAAATCCACCTGCCTCTGCCTCCCAAGTGCTGGGATTAAAGGCGTGCGCCACCACCGCCCAGCAGAAGCATAGATCTTAGTTCAGGTTTTATTGCTATGAAGAAACAGCATGACCATGGCAACTCTTATAAAGGAAAACATTTAACTTGGGTCTGGCTTACAATTTCAGAGGTTCAGTCCATTATCATCATGGTGGGAAGCAGGGTAGCATGCAGGCAGACATGGTGCAGGAGGAGCTGAGAGTTCTGAATCTTGATCTGCAGGCAATAGCAGACTGAGTCACTAGGAGTAGCTTGAGCATATATAAGACCTCAGAGGCCACCTCCACAGTGACACACTTCCTCCAAAAAGAGCCACACCTACTCCAATAAGGCTATACCTTCTAATAGTGCCACTCCCTGTGGGCCAAGCATTCAAATAAGTGAGTCTATGGGAGCCGTTCCTATTCAATCCACCACACACAGAGAACATGTCTCTCTCCATCAACTCTCTTCCCTGTGGGATGTGCATGGGTTAGAATCCAATTGCCAGAAACTCCACAGCCTGTCTGATCAAGAGGGCAGGTGACTTAGGGTTTCCTATCCATGAGGTGCTGGCTGACCTTGGCCTGTGAGGGTTAAATATTGGCTGTTCTTTTTTCTTTTCTTTTTTTTAAAAGATTTATTTATTTATTTATTTATTTATTTATTTATTTATTTATATGAGTATACTGTAGCTATCTTCAGACATACCAGAAGAGGACATCAGATCCCATATACAGATGGTTGTGAGCCACCATGTGGTTGCTGGGAATTGAACACAGGACCTCTGGAAGGGCAGTCAGTGCTCTTAACCACTGAGCCATCTCTCCAGCCCTTGGCTGTTCTTTCTGAACTTCTTATCTTCATTGATGTGGGCCAGAAGGACAGCTTTACCAGTTTCATAATTCTAAATCTTGTATGACATTTAGAGAAAGTTTAGACAAACAAAAACCTACATAAACAAAACAAGACTTGGTTAGGGTTTCTATTGCTGTGATAAACACCATAAGCAAAGTCCCTTAGGGAGGAAAGGGTTTATTGACGCTTACAGCTTACAGTTCACCATTCATCCCTGAATCAGGGCAAGAACTAAAGGCAGGAACATGGAGGTTGGAGCTGATGTAAATCCACAGAGAAATGCTGCTTACTGGTTTGCTTCCATGACTTTCTCAGCCTGCTTTCTTGTTGGCTCCCTGGGCTACCAGCCAGGGGTGGTACTACCCATAATAAGCTAGTGCCAGAAGCCAGGACCCTCACCCTTACCCTCACCCCCTACCTTTCCCCACCTGCATAATGTCCCCTGCAGCCTGGCAACCACAAGATCCTGCTTGGCAAACAGTGTATAGCAGGGAGACCATAACTCAAAGCAGTGTACCATATCTTCTGAAGAATAGCAGGTAGATCATAATTCAAGGCAGTGTACCGTATAGACCATGCCATGTTTCAAGGCACAGGCCAAGAAGATTCTGTACTTTTCCACCACCTGGCCCCTCTTACCCCCTCCCCTTGTAAAGCATGCTATAAAAAAGCATTTCATGTTCAAATACATGACTCTTGACAAGCAAATGTTTGCTTGAGTCCTTTACCTCTCTCGCCCATTCTTCTTTCAGGTTGCGGTCCTCCTTGCCCCCACGAATAACTAGGACCTGCCGGTCGGGTCAAGTAGCTAGGGTTTCCCACATTGGTCATTAATAATAATAATAATAATAATAATAATAATAAATCCCCCACAGGCTACTCCGGTGCTGGTATTTTCTCAATGGAGATTTTCTCTGTCCAGATAACTCTAGTTTGTGTCAAGTTGACATAAAACTGGCCACCTTAAAGCAGTTTTTAACTAAATCCTAATTTTGCTAAGACTCACTTTCCAAAGAGATTAAGGTCTACGTTTCAAAAGCACAAGTTATCATTTTGATTAAACATGCATTTTTATTTTTTAATCCAACATCACAAATGTTATTATAAGCAGATCAATATCTTTAGGAATTTTAATAACTTTTGAAATAAGAGTTAAATCCAAATTACATACAGGGCACTATGTAGCAAACTGAGAGTTCCTGTCTGTACATGTTGTTCAACTACCAAGCCTTTAGTTACTGTTACAAGTCTCAGACAAGCCTCCTCACAGCTTGGGTTTTTTTTTTTTTTTTTTTTTTTTTTTTTATAAATAATTTATTTATTTTTGAACATGAAATGCTTTTTTATAGCATGTTTCACAAGGGGAGGGGGTAAGAGGGGCCAGGTGGTGGAAAAGTACAAAATCTTCTTGGCCTGTGCCTTGAAACATGTCATGGTCTATACGGTACACTGCCTTGAATTATGATCTACCTGCTGTTCTTCAGAAGATATGGTACACTGCTTGAGTTATGGTCTCCCTGCTATTCTTAAGATGATATGGTACACTGCTTTGAGTCTATCTGCAGTTGCTAAGCAGGATCTTGCAGTTGCCAAGCTTCAGAGGACATTGTGCAGGTGGGGAAAGGTGGGGGGTGAGGGTAAGGGCGAGGGTCCTGGCTTCTGGCATCTCCCCCTTCTCTGTTTAGTTAGAGAAGGCATCTTATGATCAATCCCAACTATGTGAATTTTGAATTTGGACGTCTAATTATGGGGGGGTCTTAGACAAGTTCACAACCCCAAAACACTGATGTGAGACGAGTCACATCGATGGTCGAAGGTTTTAGGCTGTCGACGATGGGCAATGTCAAGGGACTCCGATGTGGGTGAAAGGAGGGTGAGGGCCCTGTCTTAGGCCATGTAGGCTGCACCCACTCCCAGCACCACGCACTCCTTTTCGGCTGCATTGGGTGGGCCCCTGGGAAGTGGACCTACAATAATCCCGTCATTGGGCTAACTCACAGCCATCCTAGTCCCTTGTAAATGTTCAATTTACCAACCATTTGTCAGTTTGGGGTGTAATATTGTCATAAAGGAAGGCTCCCCAATGTTAGCGGCCATATCAAGGGCGGCCTTGGTTTAGGAAAAAGCCAATTTTTGTTGTGGTGATCAAGAGGCCAAGCTCTCTATCGAGAGAAACGGG